GCTCCAACGGCGGCACGGCGGGCGTGCAGGCGGACCTGGAGCTGGAGGGCTTCGCTGGCCTGGCCGTGGCCACCGAGGACAAAGCCCTGCAGTTCGGGCGCCCCTTCCAGCGGCACTCCTCGGAGCCTGAGTCTGGCCGGCAGTACGCCGTGTACAAGACGGTGCACACGCAGGGGCAGTGGGCGTACCGGGAGGACTACCAGCTGCAGTACGACACGGTTGGAGGTGCCCGGCGGGACGCCTGGATGGAGCGGGGCTCCCGCAGCCTCCCCGACTCCGGCCGCGCCTCCCCCTGCCACCGCGATGGGGAATGGTTCATCAAACTGCTGCAGGCGGAGGTGGAGAAGATGGAGGGCTGGTGCCAGCAGATGGAGAGGGAGGCTGAGGACTACGACCTGCCGGAGGAGGGTGAGTCGGGGGGGATTTGCGGGGGCAGGAGTGACTGGGGCTCCCGTAGGGGCTGAGGGGCACAGCCAGGGTCCTGCGGTGCTCCCACCTTGGGACCGTCTTGGAGCATCTCCCCTGCCAAGGCTAAAGAGGTTGGGTGGGGGCAAGAAACCCTCTGGGACTAGCAGGGTCCAGGGAGAGAGGAGACCGTGTGCAGGCTGGGGGGATCCGAGCTGTTCCGCTGCCCCCGAGGGGGCGCAGGTCCCCGCCGCCCAGGGGAGAGGCTCTGTGCCCTGCTGATCTTCTGCTCTCCCCCTGCCAGTCCTGGAGAAGATCCGGAGCGCCGTGGGCAGCGCCCAGCTCCTCATGTCCCAGAAGGTGCAGCAGTTTTACCGTCTCTGCCAGCAGAACATGGTGAGTGCTGGGCAGCGGTGCCACGGGATGCGCCGTGGCAGGCAGGGAGTCTTGTATGCTTAGCCGATGGAAACGTAATGCCCTGGGGGAGAGCCAAGCAGAGTTCCCCAGCAGTGGCCATGTGGCCAGCACAGCCAATGTCCCGCAGGCGGACATGGGTGACGCTCTGTCCCTCTGTCCCCGCAGGATCCCAACGCGTTCCCTGTGCCCACCTTCCAAGACCTGGCCGGCTTCTGGGACCTCCTGCAGCTCTCCATTGAGGACGTCAGCATGAAGTTTGCGGAGCTCCAGCAGCTCAAAGCCAATGGGTGGAAGATCGTGGAGCCCAAGGTAAGGGCAGGGCTCTGCCGCTGGCACTTGTCCCCTTGTCACCCCTCCCTCCCTCCTCCCCAAGCACTTCTCTGCCCAAACCGCCACTGCTAGGCTGTCGCTGGTGATTGCTTTTAGCAAACACTTGAAAAACAAAGATCTGGGAAAAAACAAGGCTAAAGAAGGGGCTGTTCCCCTGCCGTGGTCTCGCAGCCGGCATGCTGGGTGTTTCCGGGCAGCGCTGCCTGCAGAGGGCCGGGCAGGGTCTCGGCGCAGGCAGGGCAGCACGCCGCGGGCACCTTCATGCCCATGCAGACGGACGAAGGGACGCTCAACCCTGCCTCGCGACAGCGCGGTGCAGGGGAGGCGTGGGGCCATCTCCCCGCGGCTTTGGCTTTGCCAACCGTGGCAGCACCGTGCGTGGTGGTGCACGTGTCCCGCATGCCCGCTGGCTGTGCCGAGCCCGCTGGGATGCCTGTTCCCTGGAGGTCCTGCCCCCGTGCCCGCCCTGAAGCCCCCGTTGTCTGTGCAGGAGGAGAAGAAGGTGCCTCCCCCGATACCAAAGAAGCCGCCGCGCTCCAAGGTGCACCCGGTGAAGGAGCGCTCCCTGGACTCGGTGGACCGGCAGCGGCAGGAGGCCCGCAAGCGGCTCCTGGCAGCCAAGCGAGCTGCCTCCTTCCGCCAGAGCTCGGCCACCGAGAGCGCGGACAGCATCGAGATCTACATCCCCGAGGCGCAGACCCGGCTGTGACCGCAGCCTCCGCTTTTCTACCCGGACTGGACGGCGCGGGCGCAGCG